GATGACATCAATGATGACATCACAGTTGAGGAAGACTGGGACCTAGATAACAATGATTTTAAAAGTGACTTGTGTTGGAACACATCTGGAAACAYCAGTATTTACTGGAATGGTGTAAACAAAACAGAAGAACTGGAAAATGAAAATGATCAGAATTGTTCTGGTAGTGATCTTGACAGTGCAAATGATGATGACKGTGTGCGATGCCTTTTGAAGAGTACATGTACTTGGGCTGAAGGCATTAAAGCGGATGATGTTGATGAGGATGATGTTGATGACTGCTTATCAGATGATGGTTTACCATGGATTAATACTTCAAGTACAAATGAACAGATATGAAAGATAACATTGTTTAAAATACTACACTGATTTTATATTATTATGTGTAACATCCCGGGGGAGGGGGGGGACTCCCTAATATCAAAGGGCGGGGGTCCTCGGYRKAGATYGTGAAAATGACCCCTAAAAGGGACCTCTATTGTGAGATGATGGGCGTGGCAGTGCTGAAATTTCAACCCTAAAAGGGACCAATCAATAACAGGTCATTTTGTTTTGGATTACCAATTTTATTTGTATTTTTACACAATCATCGAACACCRWCGGTTCATATTGAGTTTATGACGACGTTGCCATTTTATGACTGCTTAGGGTCGCCGTATACCCTAAAAGGGACCRCAAAACACAGTTGGTRGGAATTCTTGTCATGATCACCCTAAGCGGGACCAAAATACTGATTTCAAACCCTAAAAGGGACGCCGAGGACCCCCGCCCTTTGATATTAGGKAGTCCCCCGGGGGTAACATACTTCTGATTAGGTATTTTTATGAATCCTGGATATATTTAATGATGATGCTTATTCAACAAATGTACTTGTACAGTATGTCTACTTGCGTGCTCAAACAGAGAGCAATGTACAGTACATCCAAGTCAGTGACAGGCTCTCCAAGTCCAGAGCACAGGCAGCCTACCCATCTTGCACCCCAGCAATATGCTTTATAGGTACTTTGTACTTTCTTTTTAATTCCAAGATGCACATTATTAAGGACCAGC